GTGTATGTAAGAAAAGTAGTGTGTGTGTTTGCATGTGTGTGTAAGGGTTTGCATTGTGTGTGTGTGTGTGTGTAATGAATGCATTGTGTGTTTTTCTGTGTGTAAGTGAAGCATGTTGTGTTTCTGTGTGTGTAGGGATGCATTGTGTGTTTCTGTGTATGTATAGGGATGCACTTTTTTGTGTGTGCGTAGTGTGAAGGAGCTCCCTGTCCTGCCCCCTGTCCTATAGAGCTCTCCCTTCTGTCCCTTAGAGGTCTCTCCTCTCCCCCCACCCTCCCCTAGCGGTCTATTCTCACACACCCCCTCCCTGTGTTCTCCTCACCCCACCCCCCATGCTCTTCTTACTGCCCCCTCCCCCTGTGTTCTTCTTACTCCCCGTGCTCCCTGTGCTCTTCTCACTCCCCCCCTCCTCCCTGTGCTCTTCTTACTCCCCCCCTCCTCCCTGTGTTCTTCTCACTCTACCCCTCCCCCTCCCTGTGTTCTCCTCACCTCCCCTTCCCTGTGCAGCGTGGCCGAGCTCTTCTACGGATCGCGGTACGGAAGCTTCTGTTTCCTGTACCTGGCCAGACTGATAGGAAGTTAGTGCACTACAGGATGTTCCTGTACCGCAAACCGGAGAGGAGCTCGGCCATGCTACACAGGGAAGGGGGGAGAGAGGCTGTGCTGCAGCCACTTGAGGCTCTCTATAGAGCGCTCAGGCGGCTGCAGCATTAGGCCAGCGATGAGGGAGCAGGGTGCTCCCTCCTATATGCGCCCTATATGGCGGTTGGAACGAGCAGATGACAGGAGAAGGTCACTAGCAGAGTGAAGGGAATGAGAAGGGATGTATTTGTTGAGTAAAGAGGAAATGTAGTGATTAGTGGAGTTAGTGACGGCTTTGTAGGTTAGTGTTAGCAGTTTGAATAGGATCCTGAAGGGTACATTAAGCCAATGTAATGATTGGCTAAGAGTGAGGTGTGGAATTAGCTGTTAGTCAGGAAGATGTTTGTAGCTGCAGCATTTGTTGCTGTCACGACAAAGTGACCCCAACACGCATAATGCAACCCTTAAAAAGAGAAAACGTATGGCCAGGTTTAACGTGGATAGCGAGAAAATAGTCAATGAGTAGCCAAAGTCTAGGAAAACCAGAGATCAGGATAACGATAAGGAGTAGTCGAGTCAGGATACCATAAAACATTATAATCGAGAAAACAAGCTGAGTCAGGATACCAGAGTAGAATAGTCCAAATACAAGACAAGTCAAATAATTCCAGAGAACACTATCAGAAAACTCAATACCAGTAGAGGGAACAACAAAGGAACCACAATAGGGCACTGAACCATTTATAGAAGAGCGTCTTTTGCTGTAAAACCACGCCCCCAAAACGTTAGAGCTGTTAAATAATTGGAATTTTCGTGGCATTGCTGCTATGATGTTGGTGCCGCGGCATAAAGCAAAGCAGGATTGGAACCATGGCGACATTGGGAGGATTCGGCAGCTGGAGTTTTCCCACACGGAGTAAGGTTAGGTATCGTGACAATTGCAGACTCAGTGCTGGCTCAATCGCTAGGCGAACTAAGCAGCCTAAGGTGCGGGGAGGAGGGGGGATAAGTCTCCTGCCGGTCACAGCATATAGCATGGCTGAGCCGCAGACTGCGGTACAGGGTCTTTTGTATCCTCTTCCTGGTCTGACAGGAAGTGCATACAGGCAGCGCCGAACTGCTTCCTGGCACACTGGGTAGAGAAAACAGTTGATCCTCCACCACAGTTTGCAGTTCATAGACAAAGAGACAAACTGATGGGCTGCGGGGTCAAAGAAACACACAGAGGGGTAGGGGGGGACAAAGACACACATAGGGCATGGGGAACAAGGAGACACAAAGGAACTGGGAGGGGACAAAGACACATAAGGGAACTGGGGCAGCAAAGAGACACAAAGGAGAGATACAGTGGAGCTGCGGGGACAAAGAGAAGCACAAGGGTGCAGGGAAAAGACACACAGAGGTGCTCGGGAAGGGGGAAAATACCCACAAAGTAGTTGGGGGAGAAAGAAACACACAAAGGGGCTGGGGAAAGAAAGACACACAAATTTGGCAATTTTTGTTTAGGGTGGGGGGATTACAAGTAGCTGGACTTGCCTAGGAAGCAAAATAGTCTTGCAATGGCCCTGTATAGACTGAAGAGGTGAGGGGACCGATGAGTAGTGAGTTGGTATAGTCAAGTCGGAAAATGATGAGTGCATGAACAATGTTTCAGCCATATTCTTGTTATTTTCACAATTACAACAGTGTGATCTAAATCAACCCCATTAACCACTTCCCGACCGGTGATGTACCAGGTACGTCCGACAACAAACGGTCGTTAACAAGCACGGATGTACCTGGTACGTCATTTTGTAAATTGGCACTTACCTGATCGCTGACGATCTCCCACTGGCAATCGCGAACCTGTGGTCTGCCTGGGAGCTCAGACAGACCCCCACTGCCCGATCTAGCCCTCCCGGGCCATGTGATTAGGGGGTCCTCGCGATCACATATATATGAGCTAAGTACTTTTACATGCACAGAAACACACATACACCATTATTAAAAGTGTATTTTAATATTATATATATATATAGATATATATATATATTAATGTTACAATACACTTAGAATGACGTTAATTATATCTATCTAGATATATATATATATATATATATATAGATAGAGATATATATATAGATATATATATATAGAGAGATATACATATAGAGAGAGATATATAGATAGATATATATATAGAGAGATATATAGATATATATAGATAGATATATATAGAAATATAGAGAGAGAGAGATATATAGATATATATAGAGAGATATATAGATATATATATATAGATATATATAGATATATAGAATTATAATTATAAATATATATAAAAAATAAAAAAATAAAAATTTTAAAAAAATGATATCCCGGTTTAAATTTGTTCTAACTGTATTTTAATATTAATATACATATATATTTAAATCAAAATACATTTAGAATGACGTTATAAATACATATATCCCCTTAACGACCATGGACGGTCGTTAAGTACCTAGTACGTCTGCGGCTAATAGGAGCCCTGGACTTACCTGGACTATCGATCCGTGGCAATCACTGTCGGGGGAGGGACTGCCGGAGACCCCAGCAGTCCCCCCGCAGCAGCTCGTCTATGGAGCTGCCAGCAGGGGGACTGTCTGAGCTGTCAGGCAGTCCCCCAGGCTGTTAAAAAGGATTTAAAAACATAATATAATAAATATATTCTACATATATTATATATGTATAATATATTATAAAATAATTAAAGCATGTTATAATATATTATACATATATACTGCATATATATGATTTCATTATAAGTGTACTTTGAGATATATACATATATATCTCAAAATACACTTATAATGAAATCATATATAAGCATTATATATGTATAATATATTATAAAATGCTTTAATTATTTTATAATATATTATACATATATAGGAAATAAAAGTGTGTGTGTGTGTATATACATATATACACATATATATGTATATACACACACACACATATATATATATATATATATATAAATTTAAAAAACCTATAATTAATATAAATTTTAAAAAACCTATAATTAATATACATACATATATATATATATATATAAAACGATTTTGATAAAGACCTCCAGGTCGAAAGGTTGATTGCTTAATACAACACGACTTCATGTTTGAAAATCCATCGAGTGCTCTCTTAATTTATATTATATCATATATATATATATATATATATATATATATAAACATATATATATATATATATATATAAATAAAAAAGTAGATAGCACTCCAAGGTCTCTTTTCAATAAAAATTTACTTTTAATTTTCCAAGTAAAAAAATCAACGTTTCAGTCTGAAGATTCAGACTTTCATCAGGACAAGGTTAAACATTGCATTACATATCTATATATACCCACACACCACATCAACAATAATCAAACAAACTTACCCCATCTGGATAGAGGCGTCCCATCACGAGCTGCCCGGTTCGTGTTCGTGCCGAAAATACCGGTCGCGTTATGATGACATCACGCCGCATGCGTCAATCACGTGCCCGGCCGCTCGTCAGGGGTATCCATGGGAAACGGACTCTCATGCGTTACGGATAACCAGAACCTAATCTACATGCCTCTGTTCTCCAAATTACACAAGACAAGTTTGCATCAAATCGATTAAAAAGAAATAGTAATTATAAACTAAACATTAAAAACATTGAACCTAGCTGGAGGTATCTAAAGAGTATAGGTGTCTATGGGGGCACTATTATACCATAGAAAAAAAGCATTGAAGATAATAAAATTATATATACTCTCTTCACCAAACCCACTGACCGAAATACACTCCTACATGCTACGAGCTTTCACCCAAACCCATTAAAAACATCTTTGCCTTATTCGCAATTTTTAAGGGTATATAGGAACAACTCGGAACCTGAGAGAGCTCAAGAACAAATTAACATCATGTGGGACAAATTTCTGGAACGTGGGTATAAAAAATCTACACTAAAGAGCGCCTTACATAGATGCCACCATACAAAAACCATACCTGATATTAAGAACCAACGACTAGTTTTTCCAACGGTTTATAATACCGCCTCGGTGGCACTGAGAAGATCTATTAATGCGAATTGGCGGGTGCTTAGTAATGATACCTCCCTTCCTAATGAATTTTCTGTCCCACCAATGATGAGCTACAAGAAGAATAGAAGTCTGAGGGACTTGTTAGTCAAAACGGATCCCATTCACTGTTATGAAACTAAAACAGTCACTAGCAATTTTGGTTGCTATCGGTGTTTGGGATGTGTTACCTGTGGACATATGGTCCCAGGCCTTATGTTTTCACATCCCCACACAGGCAAACATCAATTGACGTGTACCAGCGACTTCGTCATCTACAAATTGACGTGTCCTTGTGGCCTGGTATACATAGGCAAAACTGATCTAACGTTAAGAGAGCGAATTCGCAACCATCGTTCCAGTATTCGGGTGGCTTACCGGGATAATGCCTCTGAGTTACCCGTGGCTAGACATTTCTTGGAAGCAGGACATGCACTTCTGTCGATGAAACTAATGGCGATTGACCAGATCCCACCACCACCTTCAAAGAGAGATCTACTGGATTAGAACACTGGAAACAATTGCACCAAAAGGACTGAATGAAAAATATTCCTTATCAGTCTTTCTCTAGGAAAAGAATATCATAATGTATTTTAGACATCCTTACAATGACTGCTGATGAGTCCTGATTTAACCAAGAGCCAACCCTTGTGGTAAGGCCAGGGAATATCGGTACTTATATGATGGAAGAGTAGTAATATATGTCATATAAACTATTAAATCACATATTAGATTATCAACTCATTTTTCTTTAAGACAATACAGTCTGGGCTTAGTAGGATATATATTAATTTATAGTCGTATGATTGTCCATTGGTGAAATACATATTGGGTAATTATGAGTAACTGAGAATTAGTTTACCCTTGTTATTCTTATAATGGGATGATTTAATTATATTCTTTTAGGTAGATTTCTTTGGAAAAATATGGCCTGATATTTCATGAATATGAGATTTTTATTGTATGAAACTTTGGTTTCAATCGATAGAATTTGGTACAGGTGATTGTAAGATTGTAAGGTTAGAGTGATGTGATAGCAGTAATTGTCACTTTAATATAACGGAGCAACCGGTATTTCGTGGTGGCTGTGTAAATATGTAAATTTAAACATTTAATAGTGACTCAGTATAATGATTATTTTTACATTTTGGTCATAGCTCTTGGTCGGATTTCTAGTGACATAAATGCTGTTGGGACTTAAAAAAGTATGTCAGTGACAATTCTTATCAAATGTGTCTTTTTTTCTATGGTATAATAGTGCCCCCATAGACACCTATACTCTTTAGATACCTCCAGCTAGGTTCAATGTTTTTAACGTTTAGTTTATAATTACTATTTCTTTTTAATCGATTTGATGCAAACTTGTCTTGGGTAATTTGGAGAACAGAGGCATGTAGATTAGGTTCTGGTTATCCGTAACGCATGAGAGTCCGGTTCCCATGGATACCCCTGACGAGCGGCCGGGCACGTGATTGACGCATGCGGCGTGATGTCATCATAACGTGACCGGTATTTTCGGCGCGAACACGAACCGGGCAGCTCGTGATGGGACGCCTCTATCCAGATGGGGTAAGTTTGTTTGATTATTGTTGATGTGGTGTGTGGGTATATATAGATATGTAATGCAATGTTTAACCTTGTCCTGATGAAAGTCTGAATCTTCAGACTGAAACGTTGATTTTTTTACTTGGAAATTTAAAAGTAAATTTTTATTGAAAAGAGACCTTGGAGTGCAATCTACTTTTTTATTTATATTTTTGCTGATCAGCACCGGGCAGTTATTGGAGAATTCCAGGGAGTGCAGCATTTTTTGAATTTTTTTAAATATATATATAAATATATATATATGTATATGTACACACATTCTACATATATATATATTTAACTATTAACTGCACAACGATGGAATCACCTGTAAAAGTGCAGTTTTTGTATTAAAAAAATGCAAAAACAAATATGAACGCTATCTTTGGCAAGCCTTTGTGGCTAGGTGGCTACTACAAAAGACTGGAAATAACCCATTTTGAATACCCTGGGTTGTCTACTTTTTGGTATGTCATGGTGAGGTTAATTTTCATTTCTGGGCTGCCATACCGTCTCAAAAGCAACACAGCCAATCTGGCAAATAGCAATTTACAAAAACAGAAATTTGCAAATCTTATGTTTGACCCTGTAACTTTCCAAATCACTATAAAACCTGTACTTGAGGGGTACTGTTGTACTTGTGAGACATTACGCTACACAAATATTAGAGCAGTAAAATGTAATATATTGATAATATCATCAATGAAATGGCAGTTTATGTGTGAAATGTGCAAAAAAAAAAACAATATAAACACTAATTTGGGCCAGGGTTTGACTAATTACTTTTAATACCGTGGGTTGTCTACTTTTACAAATAGTATGCAATAATGGGGTTAATTATCATTCCTGGGCTGCCATACGGTTTCAAAGGCAACATAGGCCCATCAAACCAATCTGGCAAATTTCAATGTGCAAACATGGAAAACAGAAAATCCCTACATTTTACCCCTGTAAGTTTGCAAAAACCCATAAAATCAGTTATGGGGGGAATGTTGTACTCAAGAGATGTTGCTGAACACATATTGGGGTGTTCTTTGTCAGTAACACATAACAGGAACTGAGAATCCATGCCTAAAGTACAATGTGAGTGAAAAATAACAAAAAAATTACTACCCAAAAGTTTGACAAAGACTGGTTGTAGAATTTAGTGCATAGAAAGTGTTAAAATATCAATTTTTGGAAATACACTAGGGTGCCTACTTTTCAAAAATATATGGTTTGATGGGGGTAAATTACATTGTCCCAAATATTACCAGCTGTGAAAATTCCAAGTTGGAAATCAGGAATGCACACCCTCCAAATTAGGTCTTTTAGCCCCCAGAGAACCTGACACACCTGTACATGGGTGGTATCTTCTGTACTCAGGAGATGTTGCTGAACACATATTGGGGTGTTCTTCTGCAGTAACCCTTTAAGTTCTCAGTACATGTATTCTTAACCCCTTAAGGACACAACTTCTGGAATAAAAGGGAATCATGACGGAATATTTCAGTCATGTGTCCTTAAGGGGTTAAATTGCTATGTGTGTCAAAAAATCACCAATTATTTTTATTTTTTTAATTTGGCATAGATTGGAGGTAAAATGGTTGCATGAAAAGAGTCAAAATAACCAAAGTTTAATAACTTAGGTTGTCTTCTTTTAAAAAATATATACCGTACATGTGAAGGTTTATTCAGGGGTTCCTAAAAGATGTCAGTGTTACAGTGTAACTTTCGTTAAAGGACCACTATAGTGCCAGCAAAACATACTCGTTTTCCTGGCACTATAGTGCCCTGAGGGTGCCCCCACCCTCCGGGACCCCCTCCCGCCCGGCTCTGGAAAGGGGAAAGGAGTAAAAACGTACCTTTTTCCAGCACTGGGCGGGGAGCTCTCCTCCTCCTCTCCGCCCATTCGGCTGTATGCACACGTGCGGCAAGAGCTGCGCACGCATTCAGCCGCTCGCATAGGAAAGCATTTACAATGCTTTCCTATGGACGCTTGCGTGCTTTCACTGTGATTTTCACAGTGAGAAGCACGCAAGCGCCTCTAGCGGCTGTCTCATTGACTTTGGAGGAAGGCTTAACCCATTTATAAACATAGCAGTTTCTCTGAAACTGCTATGTTTATTTAAAAAAATGGGTTAACCCTAGCTGGACCTGGCACCCAGACCACTTCATTAAGCTGAAGTGGTCTGGGTGCCTAGAGTGGTCCTTTAATTTTGAAAAAAAAAAAATGGTTTGAAAAAAGCTACTTGTACATGTTAACATTGGGTATTTCTAAACTCAGGACAAAATTTAGAAACTATTTAGCATGGGTGTTTTTTGACGGTAGTAAATGTACAACAGATTTTGTGGGTCAAAGTTAGAAAAAGTGTGTTTTTTAATCATATTTTGTAATTTTTTTTATAGTAAATTATATGATATGATGAAAATAATGGTATCTTTAGAAAGACTAATGACGAGAAAAACAGTATATAATGTGTGTGGGTACAGTAAATGAGTAAGAGGAAAATTACAGGTAAACACGAACACCGCAGAAATGTAAAAACAGCCCTGGTTCTTTAGCGGTAAGAAAATTTAAAAACGCTCTGGTCACTAAGGGGTTAAAGAATTATTTACACACCCAGATAAAAAATATTAATAAATCAGATTTTAGACAAATTTTTATCTAATGTACTTTTAGTTTTACATTAACTTTTTACTTAGCATTGATTTGGAAAAGCTAACATGTAGCGCCATCTAGTGGTTTAGTTTGTCAGTTAATGTCGATGTGAAATGTAATAAATATAAATACCAAATTAGCTCTGATAAAATTAGTTGTTTTTTTTCTTTAAATTAAGGTAATCTTTTACTTATTACACTTTTACTGGGGAAACAATTCAGAGTAATTTTTCTACTCACATTTTTATTTTATTTTTACTAGCAATTTTCTGTTTACAACATTTGTAAGAAGATACATTAATACAGCTATCAATAACCATAGAGTGGTAAACATCTAAAATCAATATCATAACAGGTGAGTGACCCCAAAGAGGTACTTGAGTCAGTGGACTTCACAATAGTTTTAGAGTAAACAAGTTAATTGGTCATTGCATCCCTAGGATCAAAATATCTAGATAATCGTATGGTCTCCGTCGTTGCCAGCCAGGTAGGAGTGTAGGGGGAAAGAGGGGGGACCAAAGAGTGTATGAAGATTCGTCCATTTTAGTGCATTTGCTTGAGTCATAGAATGAAAAAAGCAAAACCAGATGTTAGAATGGTATCGCCCTGTGTGATAGTAGCATATGTAGAGTTGTTATAGGTACTCGCTGTATCAAAGGGTCATAGGTAGGTGCATGGCGTCCACGGGGAAGGGCAGGGGCGGCACTTGCCCCCCTGGATTTTTCAGCTGTTCTGCTATTTTTCGTGTGAGATTTAAAATGAACTGCAATACCAGCGCCGGCCAGTAGGTGGTGTGTATGGAGTGAGACAGGGATAGGAAGCTACATCTATCCCTGCTTCTCTCTGCTGACTGAAACCGCAGGGGAGCAGCACATGCAGGCAATAGAGACAGCCTACAGATGACGTAAGTGAGGGATGGGGGGAGATAGCCTATAGATTAGGGAAGTGAGGTATGGGGGCAGCCTATAGATTAGGGCAGTGAGGCATGATGGGCAGCCTATAGATTAGGGCAGTGAGGCATGGGGGCAGCCTATAGATTAGGGCAGTGAGGCATGGGGGACAGCCTATAGATTAGGGAAGTGAGGCATGGGGGACAGCCTAGATTAGGAAGTGAGGCATGGGGGCAGCCCAGTGAGGCATGGGGGCAGCCTATAGATTAGGCAGGAGGCATGGGGGGCAGCCTATAGATTATGGCAGTGAGGCATGGGGGCAGCCTATAGATTGGCAGTGAGGCATGGGGGGCAGCCTATAGATTAGGGAAGTGAGGCATGGGGCAGCCTATAGATCAGGGAAGTGAGGCATAGGGGCAGCCTATAGATCAGGG